CTTCAACTACTCTCTTCAATATCCAAGATATCCAATAAAAGCTAATTGATACTGATTGGATATCTACTGAGAAGGTAATTAAGTTGTACAGTAGCAATTTCTTCTCTCTCCACCTTTATCATCACTGCGCAGTAGCAGTAATATAGTAAAGACAAAAACCTTGAAGCTGAAAAAGATTGTGTATTCTCATTCCTATAGTATTATTTTCTTCTTTGAGCTTCTCTTTTCTCGGTTCTTCTCTGTTCTGCTCATTCCAAAAATCAAATATGTTCAAGCGCACAAAGTCTGGTAGGAAGAAGTCCAGCAGAGGCGAGTCCTCTACTGCAAGGCAAGAACAGAATGTTGGAGGAAGGATTGAAACTTGGTTCAATGGGGACCAAGAGAAAATGGATTTGTTTATCCATGAATTGAGCAGGAAGCAAGTCAACATTCCAAAGATGTTAAAGTTCTCCTGGTTTGATGCCGAAGGATTCGAGTGGCATTCGAAAACTCCTGCAACACCAAAAGCTTCAGAAGTTTCTGGAGTTAAATGGTAGGATTTACCCTGACTTAATTAAAGTCTTTTTCACTAACTTGTCCTTTGAAGGTTCCACTCTAATAACTCAAGTAAAAGGAGTAGACATTGAGATAACACCTAATGTCTGGAAGGAAGTTGCTGGAATAAAAGATGTAGGTGTGAAAGTCACCAAAGGGTGTACTTCGGATGTTGAAGAATTTAATAAAGTTCAGTATTTCCGCTCTTGCTTGAAGAATAGGCATGATTCTGTAAGTTCATTCAACACTGGGAAGTTGAAACTGGAAGAAAGGATTCTTGCTTTCATCGTTTCCTGGCAGCTTACACCCAGGGGGAGCAATCATGCGGTGCTAAATGAAGGAGATTTAGTTCTGATGTACTGCATTCATCACAGAATACGTGTGAACTGGGTCTTTGTCATCAAGGATCACATGATCAAAGCCAAGAGACTTAGTGACTTCAGTTGATGGTGAATGGATCTCGAAAGAAGATGCTGGGAGAAGTGAAGAAAGTGAAGAAGAAGAGCAAGAGGAAGGAATCAACACTGATATTCCTGGAACTTCTGCAGCACGTCCTTCTGATCCAATGGAAGAAGAAGTAAACCCAATGGAGATGATTCCATACAATCCACCGCCTGACCGTGGCACGCCTCTGTCTCAGTTCGAAAGAACAATGTTACATCAAATGAGCGAACTGCAAACTGACCAAAGGAGGCATATGGAGATGACTGCTGCTCTGAGGGCTCGGCAGCATTATTTGGATGAAAATTTCATTGCAAGGTTCCAGCATATTGATAATCAACTAGAAGACATTTACAACAGGATTGTGGAACTGCAATTCAACCAAGGCCCCGGGGACGAATGAAGATTTTCTATGTTTCTGTTATTCTGTTTTCTTTTCTTAGTTTTTAATGTTCTGTTTTATATTCGGGGTATCCACGTGGCCCCATTGGACTGTAACTAAAACATTCTATTTGATGCAGTCAAATAGGGGGAGAAGTATTTTGCGCTGCTTAAAACTGTCACTACACACACACCACAAAATATATGTCTCTGGTCTGTTATTATTTTTTATGCAGGTGCAGTGGTTATTTGTCTCCATCAAATAGGGGGAGATTGAAGCACTTGGTGGATTTGATGAAGACAAGCACTTGGTTTTTTGATGAAGACATAGATATAGCTTAGGTTGTGGGTGTGTAGATGATTAGGTTTTTTAGTTTAAGCACTTAATCTCTTGATAGGACAATATATTTTGTGATAAGCACCTTATAATGTTGCATCCCATTGAAAATCATTTTTCTGCATGAAAAACTAACATCTAAGTATTAAAAGATCAAACTAAGTTTTTCAATCTGTTGAAAAGGATTTTCAATCTGTTAAAATTACTTAAAAGAATAAGTGATCATACATAATCGTATTTTCAATTGATTGATTCACGGAATCAACAAGTTAAAATAACTCAATGAATTTTCAATATCAAGTTTCGCATTTTCAATCTGTTGAAATATTTTTAAATCTGTTGAAACAGAAAGACCTTTTTCAGTCTAAGAGTTTTTTAGAAAATCAATCTGTTGAAATATTTCTCAATCTATTAAAACAGAGAGACTATTTTTTTAACTAAGTGTTTGCAGGATTTCAATCTGTTGAAATGACTTTCAATCGATTGAAAAAGAAGAGCTGTCATTTTCATTAAGTTGTTTCAATCCATTAAAAACTCGAATCAATCGATTAAATGGAGCTTTAAATGAAATTAATCGATTGAATCGATGTCTTAATCGATTAAATGGAGCTGTAAATGAAATCAATCGATTGAATCGATATTTTAATCGATTGAAATAATATTCTGATCGATCATAATTTCATTTTAATCGATCATAACTCGGTCTGATCGATCATACTTCAGTTCTAATCGATCATAACTCGGTCTGATCGATCATACTTCAGTTCTAATCGATCAGAGTCTCTTCTAAACTGTTTTACTTCAATCTAATCGATCTTTTGACTCTCTGAAACAGTTTTTGACAGTTGAATCAGTCTGATTCTATGATTTACTCTATATATACAGATTTGATCTATCTTTTGAAACATACAATACAACACACTACTTGAGAAAACTTGTGAAATCAATCTGTGAAACTTTCATACGTGACTTTCTCTGCATTCAAGAATCTTTTCATATCATAAGGTGCTGTGATCAAAATTGTGGTCAATCAAAGAGAGAAAGTGCTGTTAGAATTTGTTCTGGACAATTAGAACTTCAAGTCCAGGTTTTTTCTTTTCATATTCTTTTGTAAAAGTTTGATTGTGCAGGTTGGATTGTAATCTGTACTTGGTACAGTAACTGGATTTGGTTACTGGGTGGTTTTCAAGATTCTGTCTTGTGGGTTTTGCAAGATAGTTCTTGGGGTAGATTGGTGAGTATCTACTGGTTGTAATTTTCACTTGGTTTTAGTGGAACTTGACTGGTTTGTCAAGAACTGGATGTAGCTCTGGATTAGAGTGAACTAGTATAAATTTGTGTGTTAATATTCTTCTTTCATCTCTTTTATTTTCTGTCTTTAATTGTGCTGTGTTTAAACCGAGTTACCTTTGCAAAGATTGAATAAAGATAACTCATTCTTCCAAAAGAAAGTAAGTTTTGCGAAAAAGTTTTAAAGTTCAATTCACTCCCCCTCTTGAACTCAACCATTAATTCTTTCACTCAGTAATGCGTTAGTCATCATATCAACATGATGTGAATATGACCTATGACAAGGGCTAGAGTAAGGGAAGCAAAGGAAGCTCTTCAACAAGTATTGTTGGTTGACTGAAATTGTGGAAACCAAAAGTCAATCAGCTATACACCCTCTCACAACACCATTGTTATTAGTACAAAAATTTCCAATTCCAATAACATAACATCTAAAGGATAATGTATTCAATGATACCTCACATCTATATGTTTGGATCTAGAATGAAAAATTAAATTCTTACTAAGATGGATAACACTCTAACTATCCACAAATAATGGATAGTTTGTTGAAAACAAACTCTACACAAAATGAAACTTTTGTGAAGACTTACTTGATTGATATCTTGATTGTACCGTGTATGTGTTGTCTTGATGTAAGTTATTTCTTACTTACTAAATTAAAAAAAAAAATCATAGCCTCATAAAAATTGTAGTTTTATGAAAAGATGTTTTAATCTGTTAAAGGTTGGATTAATAAGTTAAAATGCACTTGAAGCACATTTTTAATTTTAAAAAAATTATTTAATCGGCTAAAATTTCTTATGGTCAAAATTGGTAGGTTGGATTCTATTTTAATCTATTAAAACGATATTTCAATTAATTAAAATATTCCTGATAGTTTTTTAATGTTTCGTGGATTATTTTTTTCATTTATTAAAAGTAGTTTTAATTTATAAAAATATGTTTTGATCATAAAAGAGAAGTTTTTGGGCCTCCAGCTTTAATTTGTTAAAGAACTTTTAATAGATTAAAATATTGTAGGGGTTGAGAAGTAAATTGTGACTAAGTTTGTTTAATGAATTAAACATGATACTATTTTGATAAAAAAAAAAACACTCCAAGTGAAGAGGAACTTTGAGTGTTTTTGTTTTAAGCAGCTAAAATATTTTTAATTTAATGTTTTCAAATAATAGATTGATCGTTATGATTTTAATTGATTAAGAACAAAATATAATTGATTATTTCACACTTAAGTGGAGTAAACATATTAAAATAAAATATTATTTCACACTAGATTTATTTTCATGTGTGAATTTCGATTTTGCTCAACGTATTTCTTAAAATGAAGGAGGCACTGGATGAAAATTAGTAGGCAAGTTCAGCTTTTCAATGTATTTCTTAAAATGAATCGGTTAATGGAATATTAAAGACCTCGTTGAGCAATTTTAGCTTTTGCTCATTGTGCATATCAACTTTTTGGACACTAATAGCTTCTTCATATTCTCATTATAAGAGTTTAGCTCTTGTCCAATGCAAGTTAAACCTATAGCTAATGCAATGGTTTAGCTTAACAAGTTCAACTCTCACTTAGTGGCAGTGGCAGATCTTCTTGGGAGCTGAGGGGGCCGTGACCCCCCCAAAGTTTTGTAACTCTCATGTAATTTATGATTTTGGTCTCCCCAAATATAATGAACATTTAATATATTTACTTGTATATTTACAATTTTATCCTCTCAACCCCTCATCAATTTGGTAATTCTCATATAATTTATTATTTTGTTTCCCTCAAACTTAATGATCATTTAATATATTTAAGTATATATCTACAATTTTATTTTTTCACCCTTTCATATTCTTTCTTCCTTTTATATTTATTTATTATTTATTAATAATATATTATTTGGCCTCCCAAGATCAATGGTTAAGATCCGTCACTACTTAGTGGTAAACTCAAAGTATGACATTGGATGTGATTCTGCCTAATTTTCATTGAGTGACATTAGCTCTCGCTTAACAATAGATGAAAATTGCACTACTAGACTTGATTCCATTTGTTTTTACTAGATGAGTTCAACTCCTGCGTAGCGAGGCTGTCTTGATCAAACACAAATTTTATAAGCTTCTCTTTAAATACAATGTGATGGTCTAAATTAATAAGCTTTGGGATGTGTTCAACAACAAATTCATCAATGATATATCCACCTTAAACACAAAATGATATTCATTAGGGTGTTTCAAAGTATTGACAATATTAAACTTAACCATTATATCATCAAACTCCATACTTAAAGCACTAGCATAAATATTTATCTTAGTATGTGAAGTTTTCGAGAATGACCTTCCAAAAAAGAGGAGGAGAATTAAGATTAAAGTCGTTAGAACACTTAAATTCCATGTCAATATGTAGAAATTTGCTAGAAAGGTTAGATTGTTCACTTTCATCAAGACATCTTCAATAACTGTAGTTGGTTGCATTGTACTTCTATTTATAATTTGAATTATCACATTTGTGTTTTATATAGAATCTAGGCACAATGAAGAGTACACGACTAAATGCATTACATTAATTTAAGCTCCTAGCTTTAACATAGCATTTTCAAACCTAGTGTTGTCTATGACACATGGAACTGTAAATACACTTGGATCTTCACTTTTTTTTTTTGGAAAACATACATTAGATGAAGTAAATAAAGCAGAAATATTTTTTATAAGTCAACTTTTACATTTTCCTTGAGTCTTCTCTTGTTGGTGCACAAATCTTTGAGAAACTTGTCATACTTTGGAATTTTCTTTATGGCTTCAAGTAAGGGGATGCTGACTTCAATTATTTACAACACTTGCATAAACTCTTTGTCCAACTCCTCACCCTTCTTTGTATACAAATACCCTCTAGATTGAGGGAACTACAATTTTGGACTACACAGGGTTGCTAGCATCAGTATTAGCTGGAGCATCAATTTTAGTTGTTTTTGGAGCTATAATGGCTATTTTTACTACATGATTATTGTTTTCAACTGGTTATTCTTCTTCTTCTAAGTCATCAAAAGAAATAGGACTAACAAGCACCTTTCTAGTCCTTAAGGTCATGAAACTCAAATTTTTGGGATTAATAATAATTTGGGAAGCCAATTAATTTGAGTACTTAGATTATTGTTGGTTTACTACAATTACAAAAGTATAACTTGATTTTTCAATAATTTAATACTTGTGTCAGTCCTTTGAAGAAATTTTAATGTTATCATGGACATTTGCCTCATTAAATCCTTCAAACATGGTTAATTTTCACTATTGGAGGGTGTTTCATGTGAAAGCTTATCAAATTGTGTAATATTTTGTTATGAAAAATATGGATATTGTGGTGAAGATGGATAAATAGGTTGTTGTCCATGATAATTGTCACCGCCGTCAAAAGAGGCGGTCAGAGCGACGCGATGGTTTTGGATTGACTCGCGTTTTTTGAAATAAGTGGTTCAACGCCTCTAAGTTGTCCAATAATATGGGCTGGACCTAAAGGCGAGGTTTTCGAAAAGGTTCGAGGAGTCGTCATCAATGTTTTAACCTTAAACACTGAAAAAGGTAAAGAAAAAGAAGAAGGCAGTGGTTTTAGAAAAAAATCAACTTTGGCCATTACAACCAGAATCGAGTAAGGGAGTTAGTCCCTATGATGGACTAGCTTAGAAAATAAACACTTAAAGAAACTATGTTTTTACCCTTATTATTCTTTCTACTTGCAGAATTTAAATATCTACATGGCCTTATTATCTAATGCACACAAAGAAAGCGATAAAGAAAGCAGTAAAAAGAGAGAGAGAATAGAAAAGGAACCTCCGAAGGAAGCTTTATATTAACTCTTTGAAACTTGAGGACGCTTTTTGGCAGTCACCACACTCTACAACCACGCTCCTCCAGCAAAAGAAAGAAAAGTCACTCTACCGAGGGTCAGACGTCTCAATAGGATACTTCCTTAATCGATTTCAACTTTAAACGGAAATCAGAAAGCTCACTCGAACTCCGAAATAATGCTCAGAGTCACTCTAAAGTGACAAAAGGCTTCCTAGAGAGTGGTAAGAGTGAAAATGTGTGAAATTCAAAGAATGGGGCTCATATTTATAGGGAACCGGGCCAGGAATAAGTGGACGACCGTCCATCGCAAAAAGTGGCCATGGACGGTCGTCCATGTAGTGTGGACGGTCGTCCATGGCCAAAAGTTGCCATGGACGGCCGTCCAAGTGAAGTGGACGGTCGTCCATAGCCAAAAAGTTGGCATGGACGGTCGTTTGACTGTCCTAGACGACCATCTGCTGTCTCTGGCGAATTTCTCAATTTTTATTGCCTCTAAAAACCCTTCCTATCTTAAATGGAACCTAGAAAAAACTACTAGGGACTTAATAAAGTCTTGACCATCTTCGAAACGGGTTATCTTTGGCTTTATTGGAGAGTCGGGCAAGATTTGGGGTCTACAATTGTCGCCCCTTTACCTGACCAATTGACTATGGGTTAACATACCATGAGGTCGATTGGCGGGTGAAGGAGTCAACCCTCTTTCCCGGTTGTCCTCTGGATGCTCCTCTTGTCGTGGTGGTTGACCATCGGGACTTGTGAATGTAGTCTGGTGTTTTCTTCAGGATGCTTCCTTGCTATGGAGGCTGACCCTTCAGACGATATGCTGTGAGGCTTCAGGATGCTCCTTCAGTGCGGTAGCTGATCCTTCGGCTGACAAATGAATTTTTTCCCTCGGGATGCTCCTTTGGTGCGGCAGCTGACCCCTTGGATGGTTGTGACGCCTCAGGATGCTCCTTTGAAGCGGTAGCTGACCCTTCAGCTAATGAAGATTTTCCTTGGGATGCTCCTTTGATGCGGTAGTTGACCCCTTGGATGGTGTGTAGAACTCTATCTTCTGATGCCACTTTTGCTGTGATGGTTGATCCTTCTGATAGAGAAGGTGGTGGCAGCTTACTGCTCTAGCTCCCTTGCAACGGAGCTGGTTCTTTGGACGATGTATGTGGTGGCGGCTTACTGCTCTACCTCATGCACCGACATTGAAGTCTTTTTCTGTAAGAATTGATCTGGTTTCGAACCCCCTTTTTAAGGCTCTGCCAGTTTGAGGAATCCCCTTTTGTAAGACCCTCTCGATCAGTCCCCTTTTGTAAGACTTGATCTGGTTTCGACCCCCCTATTGTAAAGCTCTTGTTGTTGATAATCTTGAGACTACAGGATACTTTTTATGGTAGTTGATCTTGAGGTTGATGAGTAAAATTCCTCTTCTGAAAGACTTGGTCGGAGTCCCATTCTGTAAGACTTGATGAGTATAAACCCCCATCCGGTTTGAAGTCCTCTTCTGCAAGACTTGGTTTGAATTGATGTAATAGCAGCTTATTGATCTTATTCATGCACTGACTCCATGGGGAGTGATTGCTCTTGACTCTTCTTGTGTAATCATCTGGTTTGTTGACTTTCGGGGGTATTCTTCGTAAATGCTTCTAAAGTAGACAGGAATCCATTGGGGATTTTTCGATTTAGATGGTGCCTCTGAGCAGGTGGATAGCTTCATCGGAAGTGAAGGCTTTCGGTTTGCGTTGTTTTGCCTCTGAGTAGGTTGATCCGCTTGGGCATAGAGCCTCATTTGGAGACTTGTTTTGGGTGCTTCCTATTTTCAAACACAAACATGGAGCTAGTCTCCTTATATGCATGAATGCTTCTTGTTTTTTGTTATTTATCCGAGGTGATTTTTTTATTTTTTTTGTTCTTTCGATTTTGACAAAGTCGTTTTGTGCGAATAATTTGTGTGGATGCCTTAAATGCAATCTATTTTTATTTGGTGCATCTAGAAAATGACTAGCATTTCCTGTTGAACCTTCATGATTATGTTGATGGGCTTTTCTTTTATTCATTTTCTTTTTATTAAGCCCTATCTTTTGCCTAGACCGCCCTTTTGGGGATTTCAATCTAGCGGGCTGCCTTAATTTTGCCTAGGATATCTTAGCGGGTTTTTTCTTTTTTATGAGTGCCTTAACTTTTTCCTAGACCGCCCTTTTGGGGTTTTCGATCTAGCAGATTGCCCTAATTTTTGCCTAAGAATTTTCCTAGCAGGCTTTGACTCTTTTTCTTTTCTTTTCTTATGCTTTCTTGTATTGGTTTTTAATGCATGATTATGATTTATTCAACATAGAGGCATTTTCATAATTCAGTCAAGATAAAAGAAATGAAAGACAATTTTATTGATATGAACAAATAGTTTATTTCTTACAGACGGATTTACAAAGGGATTTAGAAGCATGACTGGCCAAGGTTGGCTACACTATATAAGCTATAATAATCATGCCTCTAACATCTGCCCCCCTAGTTCTCCTAGTTACCTTAGTCGAGATGCCCGAGCCCGGAGTGAAGACTATGCAGAGGTTGCCTGCTTCTGGAAGGACGTTACCTTTGTCGCCTTGCAGTTTTCAACTAAGGTAACCATTGCTCTTTTTATTTTATTTTTGTTTTTGAAACCTCTAAGTTTTGCCTAGGACGTGTCCTAGCGAGGTGTGTGGATCCTAACTTTTGCCCAAGACGCCCTTTGCGGGTTTTCATCCTGGCAGATCATGAGCAATGCCTTCAAGCATGATACTTCTTCACCGCATCTGAATTGACTAGGTGGCACAGTTCTTCTCCATCCATGTTGGTGAGGATAAGAACTCCTCCTGAGAAGGCTCGCTTGACCACAAAGGGTCCCTCATAATTTGCCGCCCATTTTTCGATTTTATCCTTCTGGGCCGGAAGCAGTTTCTTTATTACTAGATCCCCCTCGTGATCAGTGTGGGGGTTGACTTTTTTGTGATAAACCCTTTTAATTTTCTTTTGGTAGGCTTGTCCGTGACATATGGCGTCCAATCGTTTCTCTTCGATTAGGTTCAATTGATCGTACCGATTTTGGACCCATTCTGCTTTTGTCAATTTTGCTTCCATGATAACTCGTAGGGAGGATATTTTGAATTATACTGGTAATACGGTCTCCATGCCATACACGAGGGAAAACGGAGTGGCTCCTGTGGAGGTCCGTACGGAAGTTCGGTATCCGTGCAGGGCAAAGGGTAACATTTCGTGCCAATCTTTATATTTTATTACCATCTCTTTGGATGATTTTCTTGATGTTCTTGTTGGCTGCATCTACTTCATCGTTCATTTTGGGTCGGTATGGAGAGGAATTGTGATGTTGAATT